TTCTGTCCACACGGCCCGTGGGCCCCGCCGCCCTGCAGCTGCCCGTGGCCCTCAACAGCGTCAAGAACAAGTACAGCGACGTGCAGGTTCTGTGCAGCCTCTACGGGGAAAAGTGCGTGCTCTGGGGACACCTGGGGGGCCGGGGAGGGAAGAGTGTGACCGACGGGCGACTGACATCGCCTCCCCTGGCAGAGCCAAGGCTGCCCTGGGTCTGGAGCAGCAAATCCAGGAGGCAGACAAGGTCATCCGTGGCTTCGAGTCCACCCTGGCACAAGAAGCCCCCATCCCGGCGGGCCCCGGGGCGCTGCAGGAGAGGGCCAGCGAGCTGCAGGTGAGGGGTCAGCAGGCGCCCCTGGCAGGCGCTGGACACAGCCTAGCAGAGCATCTGGGGGCAGTGGGGAGGACACAGCATCTCAGAGACCCACCAGGCACTTGTTGCTTTGTCCCCCTCCCAGCGGCAGCGCAGGGCGCTGCTGGAGAAGCAGGCCGTCCTGCTGGGGCTGCACCGCGCGCTCAAGGCCTCGGAGCACGCCTGCAGTGCGCTGCAGAACAACTTCCACGAGTTCTGCCAGGACCTGCCACGCCAGCAGCGCCAGGTGCGGGCCCTCACTGACCGCTACCATGCCGTGGGGGACCAGCTGGACCTGCGGTGAGTTGCTGGCCCCAGGGGCATGTGGCAAACTGCCAGGGTACCCAGGCTGCATGGGTCCCAGGAGCTGCTGCAAGCGAGCTGTGTGACCTTGGGCTGGTGACTCCACTTCTCTGAGGCTATTTCCTCACCTCTAAAGTGGAATAGTAGAGTACTCACCTCCCAGGGGGACACCTGGCAGAGACACGATTCCACCTTGAACCCCAGCTCCAGCCCAGGACCAGAGAGGAGGGGATCTGCATGGGGGGTCACCCAGGCCTCCTGACCTGTCCAGCAGCCTCCTCCTTGGCCCTTTGCCTGACCCAGAGGGTGGCTCTCACCCTGCTCTGTGCCTCGCCCTCCTGCAGGGAGAAGACGGTGCAGGACGCTGGCCTCAGCTACCAGCAGTTCAAGAACTGCAGGGACAACTTGAGCTCCTGGTTGGAGCACCTGCCCCACAGCCAGGTGCGGCCCAGCGACGGCCCCAGCCAGGTCGCCTACAAGCTGCAAGCACAGAAGGTGAGGGGCGGGGGCTGCCCGGGGGCTGTGCAGGGGCTGCAGTAGATCAGGCCCCTGCCCAGGACTGGAGTTTCTGCGGCCAGCCTGGCCCACCTCCCTGGCCCGCTCCAGCTGCCTGTGCACGTGTGGCCCCCTAGTGGCCAAGGCTCAAGAGCGCGCTGAGGCCTCAAAGCTGAGACTGTAGAGGCCTTGGGTTCTGCCCAGTCCAATCTCCCCTGAAATGACCCGCCCATCTCTGACTGGTCCCAGTCAGGCAGTGGGACTCAGGCTGGGACCGCAGCGTTCCTGGGGTGTCGACCACTGCCGCATCTTCTTCCTGTTGGGACACCAGGCTTGAACCAGGGGCTAGGGGCGTGGGGGTGCAGCCCCAGCTCCCTGGCAGCTCAGTCTGGTGGGGGAGGCCGGCACATCACAGACCAGATGCTCAAGCACTCCTGGGAGAAGTCCGAGCACTGGGGAGCCCCCTGTGGGACGTGGGGGTCATGGCAGGGGTCAGGAACTCACAAGGAAGCAGCCCTGAAGAACAAACAGGGTAGGCAGGGGAGCAGGTGAGGTGTCCCAACAGGGACGGCAATCAGGGCCAGAGGGGCCCAGGGGCACGGGAAGGAGGCCCGACTCCACCCGGCGGCACCTTCAGACGTGGCCGCTCTGGCTGCCGAGTAGAGAATGAGAGGAGGGGTGGGGATGAAGACAGGGAGGCCCAGGAGGAGACAGGGTGGAAGTCCAGGTGAGAGGCATGGTGGCCGGAGCGGGGTGGGAGCACGGGCCAGAACGAGCTGGTGGCTGTGAGAGGTAGCTGCCCGGGGCAGACTGGGGGAGTGCTTGGAGCGGGCAGTGATGACGGACAGGTCCTGGAGATGCCCGGGTTCTGCCAGAGACAGCTGGGAAGAGGGTGTCCGTAGAGCAGGCCACGCTGGGCAGAAGGCATGGAGTCAGCCGACCCAGGCCGAGCGCGAGGTGCCTGGGACAGCCGTGGGGAGGAGAGGCAGACTCGGGTGCCGGAGCTCCCAGGAGAGCAGATAGCTCGGGACTGTGGGCTAGGAGAACATCTAGGGGGTGTGGTAGCAGGGACAGAGATCCTCAGCCCAGCTGCTGCTTAGAATTCCCGGGGAGCATTTAAACCTCCCCAGTCCAGAACCCGTCCCACATTAAATTAGAACCACGGGGTCAGAACACCGGTAATTTTTTTCTTTTTAGGTCCCAGGTGAATGAAACAGGCCAGGCAGGATTAGGCACTAACCAGGCAGGATTAGGCACTAACCAGGCAGCGCAGTGGTTCCTGGAGGGTGGTCCCTGGGCCAGCAGTATTAGTGTCTCCTGGGAACTTGTCAGAAATACAGATTCTTGGGGACCAGTAGTTAGCGTAATGGCTATGTCGCTGGACTCCCATGTAGTCAACCGCGGTTCGCGTCCTGGACCCGGTGGCTTAAAACTCACGTCGGGCACGTGTGCGCATGTGTGCCCAAGATCCCGAGAGGAGAATGGAGGAGAAGGGATTGCGGCGTGACCATCCCCCCTGGGGGGTGATTTCTCGCTTTCTGTCTCTCTGTCTCTCTCTGTCTGGCGAGCGCACAAGCCCTATAGCAAAAGAAAAGAAAAGAAAAGAAATACAGATTCTCAGGGCCAACAGCTGGCAGCATGGCTATGTCGCTGGACTCCCGTGTAGTCGACCGCGGTTCGAGTCCCGGACCCGGTGACTTAAACTCACGCCAGGTGCGTGTGTGTGCATGCCCAAGATCCCGGGAGGAGAAGGGATTGTGGCATGGCCATCCCCCATGAGAGGTGATTTCTAGCTGTCTCTCTCTCTCTGTCTTCCTGGCGAGCGCATGCGCCCTATAGCAAAAACCTCTCCAAAAAAGAAGTACAGATTCTTCTCAGCTTCCACCCAGACCTACTGAGACAGACTCCGCAGCTGGGTCTAACCCTCAGGTGACCCTGCACGAGGGCAGAATTCTAAGGGACGCCAGGCAGAAGATGGGGACTCTGCCAAGGAGGAGGAGGGAAAGTAGAGAAAGCTGTCAGGGAAAGGAGGGATGCCCCGCCCCGCCCCAGTTCTTCCGTACAGCCTTCCTGTCCCTGGGCTGAAGCTGCCTAGGTTCTGGAAGCCCCCACTGGAAGAGTCAGGCCTCTCTGACTCCGGTTTCTTCCCTGGCAGAGACTGGTGCAAGAGATCCAGAGCCGAGAGCGGGACAGGGCCGCGGCATCCCGCCTCTCCCTGGATCTGCAGGACGCTCTCGAGGTAGGCGCTTTTATTTGAGTCTGTCCCTCTTTATCCATCACCGCCCCTCCTTTTCCGGTCCCCTGCTCCCCACACCCAGCTTCCCCTCTGACATCCGGCCTGTTGTCCTCTCCTCCCTACCCAGGACTATGAGCTGCAGGCAGACACCTACCGCTGCTCCCTGGAGCCCACCCTGGCAGTGTCAGCCTCCAAGAGAGCCCGGGTGGTCCCTCTGCGGGAGAGCATCCAGGCGGAGGTGAGATGGGACCCAGCAGGGCTCAGGGCTCAGCAGCAGCTGGAGGCTGACCTCCCTCCCCCTCCCTTTGTCCTGTCCAGGAGAAGAGCCTTGTAAAAGCCTACACGGAGGCTGCAGCTGCACAGCAGCAGCAGCTGCACCAGCTGGAGTTCGCTAGAAAGATGCTGGAGAAGGTACTGAGATGACGCCCACCCCGTCTCCACAGTAGCCTGGTGGGGCTGTCAGCCTGGCAGCCTCCCCCAACCTCCTCACCCGAGTGCTGCAGCCCCGCGGCAGGATGAGAGCAGCAGGGCTCCCGCCCCCCACAGTTCTCCCTCAGTATCCCCGAGTGGGGCTCTGGGGTGTCATTCAATGAGTCAAACTCCGTGGCCAGGCTGGGCCACTGCACGGTCCTCTGAGGACGACAGATCTTCTAACCCTAGAAAAGCCCCACAGGGTTTCAGCCCTTGTGCCCTAGCCATGATGGGGGCAGCACCTGAGCCCCTGCCCCAGCAGACCAGGAGCCAGAAGCTCCCCGGGGCTGCGGGCGACGTGCCAGCTCTCACTACCTTCAGCTGTGCTCCAGCGTCTCGCAGACAAGTGCAGACTCCTTTCTGGGAGCCTGGATGGAGGAGGAGAGGTCCGGAACGCGAACTGTGCCGTGTGCACTTGCAAGCGCAGATAGGCCTGCATGGTGCCCGGCGTCCCGCCAGTATAGCTTTGACCTGGCTCCTCAGCCTCCCGCAGGAGTCTGCCAGTGGGAAGATCAGCGTCTCGAAATCCGGTGAAGATGCTTCTCAAAGCCTCTCATGGCCTAGCTCCACCTTCTGTGACCTCTCAGGAGGTCTCAAGAAGTAGGGAGGGGGGCTCTGACCGTGGAGGGCTCATCTCTCTCCTCTCCCTCATCCTAGCATTCTCCCTCCTCCCTCTCTCTGCAGAAGGAGCTCAGTGAGGACATCCAGGTGACCCGTGATGCAAAGCAGGGGTCTGAGAGCCCAGCTCAAGCACACAGAGAGTCAGAGGCCCTGAAGGCCCAGCTGGAGGAGGAGAGGAAGCGGGTGGCACAGGTGCAGCGCGAGCTGGAGGAGCAGCGGAAGCAGTTGCTGCAGCTGAGGACCCAGCGACCCCTGGAGAGGCTGGAGGAGAAGGAAGTGGTGGAGTTCTACCGGGACCCCCAGCTGGAGAGCAACCTGGCCAGGGCGAAGGCCCAGGTGGAGGGGGAGGTTAAGAGGCGGGCTGGCCTGCAGGCAGACCTAGAGGTGGTGGCTCAGAAGGTCGTAGAACTGGAGAGCGCAAGGAGGTCCATACAGCCTCACCTGCTGACCAAGGAGGTCACGCAGATTGAGAGGGATGCCAGCCTGGACAGCCAGGCCACCCAGCTCCGTAGTGAGATCCAGCAGCTTGGGAAGGAAAACACCGTCGTCTCAGCCCAGCTGGAAGAGCTCAAGAAGGAGCTGCTGGCTCTTGAGAAGAAGGAGGTGGACGTGAAGGAGAAGGTCGTGGTGAAAGAGGTGGTCAAGGTGGAGAAGGATCTGGAGATGGTCAAGGCAGCCCAGGCTCTGAGACTGCAGATCGAGGAGGATGCTGCACGCAGAAAACGGGCAGAGGAGGCCACGGCCAAGCTCAGGGTCCACATCGAAGACCTGGAGCGGGCCATCAGCTCGGTGGAGCCCAAGGTCATCGTGAAGGAGGTGAAGAAGGTAGAGCAGGACCCGGGCCTTCTCCAAGAGCTGTCCAGGCTGAGAAGCCTCCTCGAGGAGGAGAGGAAGAAGAATGCGGCGCTGGCCAGGGAGCTGAAGGAACTGCACAGCAAGCACAGCGTGGTGGAGAAGCAGCGGCCCAGAGTGCAGCTGCAGGAGCGCGTGCACGAGATCTTCCAGGTGGATCCCGAGACGGAGCAAGAGATCACACGGCTGCGGGCTGCGCTGCAGGAGACTGCCGGCAAGAGGGGCAGCGTGGAGAAGGAGGTGGAGAGGCTGCGGCCCGACCTGGAAATCCTGCGGGCCCAGAAGCCCACGGTAGAGTACAAAGAGGTGATCCAGGAGGTGGTGAGGCATGAGAAGAACCCGGAGGTGCTGCGTGAGATTGACCGCCTGAAGGCTCAGCTGAACGAGCTGGTCAACGCCAACGGGCGCTCCCAGGAGCAACTCATCCGGCTGCAGGGGGAGCGCGACGAGTGGAAGAGGGAGCGGTCCAAGGTGGAGACGAAGACGGTGAACAAGGAGGTGGTGCGCCGCGAGAAGGACCCGGTCCTGGAGAAGGAGGCCGAGCGGCTCCGCCAGGAAGTGCGGGAAGCAGCCCAGAAGAGGCGGGCTGCCGAGGACGTGGTCTATGAGCTGCAGAACAAGTTCCTGCTGCTGGAGAGGAGGAAGCCCGAGGAGAAGGTGGTGGTGCAGGAGCTGGTGGTCACGCAGAAGGACCCAAAGCTGCATGAGGACCACAGCCGGCTGAGTCGGAGCCTGGACGAGGAGCTGGGCCGGCGGCGGCAGCTGGAGCGGGAAGTGCAGCAGCTGCGGGCCGTGGTGGAGGAGAAGGAGGGTCTGCTCAGCTTCCAGGAGGACCGTGACAAGAAGCTGGCGGTGGAGAGAGAGCAGCGGCAGCTGACCCTGAGGATCCAGGAACTCGAGAAGCGGCCTCCCGCGGTGCACGAGAAGATCGTCATGGAGGAAGTGGTCAAGCTGGAGAAGGACCCGGACCTGGAGAAGTCCACAGAAGCCCTGCGGCGGGACCTGGACCAGGAGAAGACCCGGGTGATGGAGTTGCATCGGGAGAGCAAGAGCCTGCAGGTCCAGATCGACGTCCTCCAGAAAACCAAGTCTCAGGGGAAGACCATCTACAAGGAGGTGATCAGGGTGGAGAAGGACCGGGTGCTAGAGGGTGAGCGGGCCCGGGTATGGGAGACCCTCAGCAGGGAGCGTGCAGCCCGCCAGGGCCGGGAGGAGGAGGTGCGGCGCCTGCACGAGCGCATCGACAGGGCCGAGGCGCTGGGGAGGACCTGGGCCCAGGAGGAGGATCAGCTGCAGAAGTCCCGGGAGCAGGCGGACCAGGAGGTCGGGTGGCTGCGGCAGGAGGTACGGGAGCTGGAGAGGCAGAAGCAGCAGAGGGCGTTGGAGCTGCAGGAGGAGGCGAAGCTGCTCAGCCAGAAGACAGAGAGCGAGCGGCAGAAGGCGGCCCAGCGGGGCCAGGCGCTCTCGCAGCTGGAGGAGGCCATCCTCCATGAGAAGGACCAGATATACGAGAAGGAGAGGACCCTCCGGGACCTCCACTCCAAGGTGAGCCGGGAGGAGCTGAGCCAGGAGACCCAGACGCGCGAGACCAACCTCTCCACCAAGATCTCCATCCTGGAACCCGAGACCGGGAAGGACTTGTCCCCATATGAGGCCTACAAGGGGGGCATCATCGACCGAGGCCAGTACCTGCAGCTGCAGGAGCTCGAGTGTGACTGGGAGGAGGTCACCACCTCGGGCCCCTGTGGGGAGGAGTCTGTGCTCCTGGACCGCAAGAGCGGGAAGCAGTACTCCATCGAGGCCGCGCTCCGCTGCCGGCGCATCTCCAAGGAGGAGTACCACCTGTACAAGGACGGCCGCCTCCCCATCTCCGAGTTTGCCCTGCTCGTGGCCGGGGAGACCAAGCCCTCCTCCTCGCTCTCCATCGGCTCCATCATCTCCAAGTCCCCACTTGCCTCCCCGACCCCCCAGAGCAGCTTCTGCTTCTCCCCTGGCTTCTCACTCGGGCTCGGGGGTGACAGCTTCCCCATCGCCGGCATCTACGACACAGCCACAGACAACAAATGCAGCATCAAGACGGCTGTGGCCAAGAACATGCTGGACCCCATCACGGGGCAGAAGCTGCTGGAGGCGCAGGCAGCCACGCGCGGCATCGTGGACCTCCTCAGCCGTGAGCGCTACTCCGTGCACAAGGCCATAGAGAGGGGGCTGATTGAGAACACCTCCACGCAGAGGCTGCTCAACGCCCAGAAGGCCTTTACCGGCATCGAGGACCCAGTCACCAAGAAGAGGCTGTCCGTGGGCGAGGCTGTCCAGAAGGGCTGGATGCCCCGGGAAAACGTGCTCCCCCACCTACAGGTGCAGCACCTGACCGGGGGCCTCATCGACCCCAAGCGGACAGGCCGCATCCCCATCCCACAGGCTGTGCTCTCCGGGATGATCAGTGAAGAGCTGGCCCAGCTCCTGCAGGACGAGTCTGGCTACGAGAAGGATCTGACAGACCCCATCTCCAAGGAGCGGCTAAGCTACAAGGAGGCCATGGGGCGCTGCCGCAAAGACCCCCTGAGTGGCCTGCTGCTCCTCCCAGCTGCGCTGGAGGGCTACCGCTGCTACCGCCCCGCGTCCCCCTCTGTGCGCCGCCTGGGCTGATGGGGCGAGCCGTGTGGGGGCGCTGGGGGGAGAAAGCACGCACACCTTGTCCCCCAGAGCAGTCGAGGTTGCAGAGGGCCTTCCGCATCCGGCCACTGTTCTATTACTCAATATTCAGGTGACGGGCCCCCTCCCCTCCCCTTGGTGCCTGCCCCACGCCCAGACCAAGAGGTCCCGGCTCCTTTTCCTTCCTCCCTCCTCCCCCACCCAGTGCGCCCAATAAAGTGATCCTCCCAGCACCGTCTTGTCCAGGTGGGAACTTGGGCTCCTTCCCAGAGGGAGTGGACGTGCCCAACTCGCCTGCCTGGGACCTGGGGTGTTCCCAGAGGGCGCTGTCCCCACCATCCCAGTTCAGGCTAGGACTGTCCAGTCCTGTCATTCACCCCCACCTCTGCAAGCCCAGGTGTTCCCCGTGAGTAGAACAATGCCAGAAACATGTCACATTTATTTCCTGTTTGTCAAGCCAGAAACAAACCAACATAAGTATATCTTAGAGGAAGTGACAACTACTTAGAACAGCCACACGGCCCCACCCTCCCGGGATCAGGAAAATGCCTCCCCCGTCCCTCCCATTCAACTTGGGACTCTGAACTGGAACTCCTCTCTGCCCACAAACGGTTTAAATCCAAAAAGACCAGCAGGGGGCACCCTTCTCTCAGACGTGGCTCTGCAGCTGCAGGCAGGGGCAGTCTGAGGGTTCCAAAGCACCTGCCCCAGCCCAGGCAGGCTTCCTTCTCTCAGCTTGGCACGTTTTCCAGGGCTGGGGGCCAGGTCTCTAACACAACCCCTATGCCCGGCACGTCTGTGCTTCTACACCGCCGAACGCAACAAACAACTCAGAAACTAGCTGGCCTGCTGGCAGGACTAAGCCCTGCTCGGCCCTCTAAGGCAGAGGCCCGATCCTTAGAGCACTGCTCTCTCCACAGATGTGTCCGCTGTCTTGGGAGGTGGGCGGGAGGCAGTGGTAGCAGCCGCTGCAGAGCGGACCCGACGAGGGCGCCAATCTCAAGGGCAGAGCCGCTCCAGCACGCACTGGCGGGGGGCCAGAGAGGCCTCTGCAGTTGAGAAGTACGGGTGGGCCAGGGCGGCCTTGGCCGAGATCCGCTGGCCGGGGTCATACTGAAGGAGTTGCTGGAAGGAAGGGAGAAGGAAGAACCCGGACCTGTGTGGCTTCCTCTCCCGGTCCCAGCTAGAAGGCCCTGAGCTCCAAAGCAGTTGCCATCAAACCCAGAATGGCAGGAAGCCTCCCCTCCTAGCTCTAGAGCCAGTTCTGAACACGCCCAGGACCTGGGGACAAAGAGCTCATTCTAGTCCAGGCCTAACTCACCCAAGTGTCCCTCTCTAGGGTTCCAGGTCCCTGCCTGTCTCTCAAATGTCAGGAAGCCAGGGACAGAACCCTTCGCGGCAGGAGGACTT